AATTTCTGGGTTATCCCGCGGGACAAAACAGTAAGATGTAAAGATAAAGCCTTCAAAGACAAAGAACCATTAAGTCAGTACCCCCGCCACCCGGTAGCACCGTACAAGACAACAAATTCTGCCAATCCAAAAGACTTTGAGAAGGACACCACACACAAAAGACAATCATAACTCCTAAATCTGCACAGCATCATTGTAGTCTTCCCGCTTACACGTGAGATAAAATCAAAATCCTCATATCAAGCAACTTTGTGGCTCATTCTTTTATTCTTGTTCATAGCAAACCCTGTAGAGCAGAAGCTAAAATTAGGAATTGTGCATAATACACACCACAGTAGCACCTAGTTGTTTGACCAATGCCTAGGATCGTATGCAGGAGGTAAGGGCAAGATAGGCATTGAAGTAATCACTAATCCTTTATCTATAAAACCCATTGTTGCACCCAAACACTCCGCCTGTGCCAACGTTGCGAGCTACTACAAAAGCCCCCAAAAAACACCAGATTATCACCTTCCAGTGGTGTGTGTTTGTCATCATTTTCTTTTCATATATGGGTGAAATGATATTATCTTTTTATGGCTACTGGTTAGTGAGTATAATTAGCGCAACTGAAGGCCTTCCCAAGACAGAATGCTCGCATACGCACACATGAGGACAATGGCCACACGCTGCTAATCTTGAGACCCTCTTATATTAAAATAAATTTCATATTAATTTATAAAAAATAATATGCACAGAAAACCCTCCCCAAAAACCCAAAAATCTGAACGATATGCTGACAATAAAAATAAAAAATAGAAAAAAAAAGGCCCATGGGTATCCAATATTATATTCTGTCTCGGGGGTTCTACTTAAGAATAAATACCATCGTGAATCGGATAAATCTAATTCCGTGGAACTCTATTTACCAAAAAGCTGTCTACCTTTTCCATTTTCTACCGGATGAATAATAATTAATTAATTAGTTTTGCAAAGTCGTGATTGGAAATAGGAAAACAATGTAATTTGAATAATATTGCCAAATCTGATTTGGAGTAAATAAAAACGTAATTGACATATTAAATACCACTCAAAAATTATCTACATACCTCACCTAATTCAAATAAAGAACAAAAACCTCAAGAAGCAGTATGATATCTCTTGCTGTTCTCAACATATTCTTCTCTTTTTGAAGAGTTACAGTATGAATCTCTTGCGTGTGTTTCTTTTTTTTTTTTTTTTTTTTTTTTTTTTTTTTCACTTAGAAGAATTCATAGTAACCCAAATACATGCTTTTTTGCTTTTTGCTTAAATTATGAATCTTTTTGGTACACAGTTGATTTATTTGTTTTGAATCCTAAGGGTGGATAGCCTGGACTAGCGTGTATTATTTACTACACTCATTTATAAATTGTACTTGGACTTGAAAAATACAAATTTTTGAAATTTAATAGCTAAACTACTGTACATAACCTTCATTTTTTGTACATTATTAGATTTGTTGCTTTTACACCTAGACTGTTATTCTAATGCGACAATTAGTTAACTCTAATATGAATAATAAACCTTATATTCATAAACGCGTTGTATTATCATTATTCATTTCCAATTGTTTTCAAAAAAAAAAAAAATTATTATTCATTTCCAATTAATCTTTTCATTTCAATTCTTGGAAAGTAATTTCCTAACTTCAAGCAAGAAAATTTCGAAAATTATAAATGAGTTTTTTTTTCTTCCACGTCAGTTGCAGCAGCATGACAAATTTGACTAGCCAAACCTGGGAAAAAAAAGCACTGGGGGCCACCCAAAGCACCTATAAAATGACAAAGGCATACGTGGCTTCTTTAATTGGAGAATTGTAGGTCCCGCAACAGATCTATGATCATCGTAAGAACGACTGAAAGAGGGCAGCAACAGCCTTTTGTAGCTTTCTTTTTCTTTTGCCAAATCCAATCCTTCCTTATAAAGGGTGCCTTATCCATATTTTCATTATTTAATCTATGAATGGGTCATAAATTAACTCTAGGGCAAATCTGATTAGTGTGTAATGCTCTTGACTGTCTCACTACGAGATTCTTTATTAGTAATTCATCAATGCTCGTAAAAGCTGGAGATTCTTAAAGCAACTAGCGTCACAAAAGTAAGAATAAAAAGAAATAATCAACAGAAAGGACATGACCGTACATATTACGGTTCCAGGAATCGGAACCGTCGGTTCGAACCGGTCCGGAACCGGAGATTTTCGGTTCGGTTCCGGTTTTAAATATTTGGAATCGGAACCGGCGGTTCCAGAGAACCAGTCGGAACCGGACTGGAACCGGGACTGGAACCGCCAGTTTCCCGTCCGGTTAGAATCGCCAGTTTGAACCGGTTCGAACCGACGGTCTAGCCATTATAAACTGTCAGGTTTGTTTTTTTTTTTTTAAATTTTGTTGTGAAATCTCTTAATTACCCCTCCGAACAGCTATAAAAACAGCCATAAACGGCTACATAACGGCTAGTTTCAAGGGTATTTTTGAAAAAATAATTTTTTGAATTTATTATAAATACCTCATTTTATTTACAAATTTATAACAAAAAAATCTCAACTCTCTCTACTTACTCTCTCTATAATATACTACACTCTACTACGCTCTACTCTATATTATTCTTCTCTACTCTACAATCTCTCTTACTCTCTCTACAATATATTACACTCTAGTACACTCTATTATATATTATTCTTTTCTACTCTACAATCTCTCTTATTAAGTTATTATTCTCTCTAATTTTTTTTATTCAATTTTCCAAATTATATCTTATTAAATTCATCAAGTAAAATAATTATGTTCAAGTCTTTAAAAAAATAAATTTAATTGAAGTATTTTTTAATTTTTTAGGTTCAAATATTTTTTTTTAAACTGGTTTTCAAAATTTAAAATTTAAAATTATGCAATTCGTCGGAAAATCAATCGGAACCGTCGGTTTTGTCACCGGACCGGAACCGGAACCTTCCAAACCGGAACCGAAACCGGACCTTTTCGGTTCGGTTCCGGTTTCAGTTTTTCTGGAATCGGAACTGCCGGTTCCGGAACCGTCGCCACCCCTAACCGTATATTGTACGCACATTTCAATATAAAATGATACACATGAGAAAATCCTCATCTCTACTACTCCCCTTAATTAACCCATCCTTTACACAGAATCACAACCAACCAAATGCCGAAAACCAAAAGGGTCGATAAAGAAAAATTAAAAGACAATCACATTTCTAATTATATTAATTAAGTTTTAGATTACATTTTATGATTAACCAAAACCTAATTTCTTACTATCTTGCCTTCTCTTTCATGACGATCACTTTCACCTTGCCAACTCCAAACTACATCTTTAAGTGCAGGCCTAACATTCTCTTCATAAAACTTAGTATACTCAAGAGTGTCGCCAGATGACTTGGAGATCTCCACCACTGCCACTTCCGGTGCCACCTCGAACACTTCGGCGGTCATGGCCAACTTCCCTTTTCTTCAGTTTTTTGGATCCAAACTGAAATCTTCACATCCTGGATTGCGCTGGATGCTTTAGTGTCACACTTGAGGACGTAATAGTAATTTCTCTTTATAAATTTGATTTCTAACTTTTGCAGTGCAAGGTAAAATTAGTTAAATGGAATTAAGGACTAATTTATAAATAAAAAATGATCCATTATCCTTCCAGTAAAAGCATTGTTGTTTCATAATTGGAATTCCATATTCAATGGAAAGACAACTTTATGGGCCAAAAGATGAGAACCAGTCGTAAAAAATAATAAACCAAAGCATCAGCATCTTGGGGTTGTGGCAGATATGTAGTGTTATAGTTAACAGTTGATTCTACATGTATATTTTCCAATACTATACATTCCAAAAAATGTATTCAAATGTAGTATTTCAAATTTTTTACTCTCTCACCTAAAACTTCTTCAACTTTCCTATTTTCTTGCACGTTTTCTTTTATGCCAAATATGTTTCTTTTGATACTTAGAATTCCATTTTTATTGAAGTTATAATGACGAAAGTGCCCATATTCAATTGATGACTTGCTAGATTGGGTTGGCTGGATTAGCTTTAATGTGGAAACAGTCTCCAAATACCATAGAAGACGCAGTCTTATGAACAAAAAAACAAATGGAAACGCAATAAAAAAAAAAAAAAAAAAAAAAAAGAAAACGCCAATTTAAAAAAAAAAAAAAAAAAAAAAAAACTTCTTTAATAATTTACATTTTAATTTATATTAGGACCCTTTGGGGCTTCCTATTTTTGTTGGCGTTTAGTGGGTGGACAGTTACACTAAAAAAGGGCCCCCAATATGTTATGATGGGTTTTTAATTAACATTTTTGTAATATCCAGCCTACAAAACTTAAACCATTGAACATGATTTATTAAATATTTCTCTTATTCAATGAAATTAAGCCTAACCAAATTGTAGAATTACTTATATGGTTCTTTGGATGAAAAAAAAAAAAAAAAAAAGGTTTCTATAAAATTATATTGGTATGTACATTATAAAAATATTTATATTTTCTATTTCTTCCAAAAAAATTTAAAATTTCCATACAGCTACCATAATTATGAATATATAATATATAATTTGATTTGCTCTTGCTAATATACTAAACCCACCCCAACGTTACTTTAAAAACCGATCTCATTTGCGACAATGCCTATTGCCTAGGATCAATATATAATTTGATTTGCTCTTGCTAATATACTAAACCCACCCCAACGTTACTTTAAAAACCGATCTCATTTGCGACAATGCCTATTGCCTAGGATCGTATGGGAGGAAAGTGCAAGGATTAGGCATTAAAGGTGTGGCACTAGCCCTTTACTATATATCCCCACAAAGCCATCTGTTTTTTGCACCCAACATAAACCTCCCTGTTGCGGGTACAACCAGAGCTAAAAGCATCAAGATTATCTCCTTTGATTCAGTATATTCACTGTCGTAGACAAGCTTCAAAACTTAAAAGAAAAAAAAAAAAATCTTGGTCTTAACTTTGGAAGGGACAGCGCGAACGCAGGTCCCCACATCCACAAATTATGACGTAGGCTCTCCTTGGAGAGACTTACGTCAGCGCCCGTCCAAAGTGCAATAACGGAGATCACTAACCTAGCCTATGATTCTTCTTGATTGCCCATCGACCGCATCTGGTTAATTTAATTCATATATAATTGCCACCCATCCACGAAGAATGAGAGAATCATATAAGTATATTTTAACGCGAGGGTATGTTTCTAATTTATATTTGTGTGATCTGGCTCCTTTTTATATTTTTTCAATATGAGATGAACAGATATTTTTATTTAAAGTATAATATGTCCCGAGCTACCAGGTATATAAATTGTTTTTTCACTAAAAAGAGTGCATTACCAAAATCGATCAATACATAAATATGCCTTTTAATCATGAAATTTACTTTTGTTACTGTTATTAGATAATATACTTAATTGTTCTTGATTTTAGATACAACAGATGATAACAAAATGGAAGGTTACGTGGAATCTAGCTATCAGATCTGCAACAAGAATTACTAAATGTTACTTGTGAACATATATTTTTAATTCCATAGAAGCAAAGTATATTTTCTTACAATTTAAATGAAATTATATATTGTTGACTAATTTGAAACATTAATCATAATCTAAATTATCAATAATGGTCATGGAAGTTCTATCAGAGCTGCTCTCATAGCGCGTCAGTATCACCATCAACATCATTCAAATATTCCTTACATCAGAAAAGACGGAAAGACAGTTGAAAGAACTTTTAACGTCATCCATGTTAGATTTTTATTCCCATCCCGTTTTCTGTCCCTTACCTTTTTTTTCCTCTCTCCCAAACGCTGTTCCCCGTTTCCGAGAGTACGTTATCCAAGAATTGAACATTGCATATTTCTGAACTTGATTATCTCTGTAATTAACAAATAATCAAATGAATAACTAGGGCCAATATACAATTTCATAACTTTTGTTACTTTAGTTTTATGACACCATCTGTTTCTTTGCTTCGGCTCATATGAGATATTCGTATAAACATAGATATAAATCTTTGCCCCCAATATTAAAAACAGAAAAAGGAATAAAGCATTTCTTAAAAGAGAAGTCACAAGCACGCTGTTATTTACATTCACATATTAACTTATTACATGAAAACCCATCTAGGTTGTGAATTCAAGTAGTTTCCAAACAGCCACTTGGACAAGTTCATTCTTTTTCTCCCTCTCTTTCCGCCAACTGGATCACTACCCTTCATCAAGAAACAAACAAGGAAAATATATGTAATTAGTTGGAGATTTTAGTTTTTATCCCATGGAATATGATTAGTGGACATTTTTTAGAAAAATAAGTTTTGATGGGATATGGACTCACAACATCAAAGTGCGAGTTAATGACTAAAAAAATTCAGATCTTTTGTTTTTTTTCCTGGTACAAGCAGAAGGTAAGAAAGCCTTAAATACAGAACCTAGGGTGCAGTACACTGCACCGGTAGCATAATGAACAACCCAATCCAAAAGACTTGAAGGACAATCAGAGAAGACATGAACTCCTAATATCTGCACAGATATTAGCTTCCCTATAGATGTGAGAAATAAGCTCATATCAAGCAACTTGCTTTTAGTCTTATTTTATATGCAAACGCCTGTAGAGCAGAAAGCTAGAAATTAAGATGCGTGCATATATATTGCACTTACTCGTAGTAGCAGCTAGTTGGGTTGACAATGCCTAGGATCGTATGTAGGGAGGTAAGTGCAAGGATTAGGCTCTGAATGTATCACCGAGCCTTTACTAGCTATAGAAGTCATCTTGTTTGCACCCAACATCGGCCTGCAAGTTGCGGCTACTACCAAAGCCGCCAGAAACACCAGGATTATCACCTTCAGGTGGGTGGTTTGTGTTATTGTCATCATTTTCTTTTCAGTATAATGGTTGGAAATGATGATTGATCTTGTTATGGCTACTGGGTTAGCTATATATGGCGGCAATTGCAAAAGAAGAGAGTGCCTTCTAGAAATTATGCCGTAATGCTCGCTACGTCGACGGGACATGAGCACATGGGCATGCACGCGTGCTAATGTTGTAGGACCCTCCTAATTAAATAAATTATTATATTAATTTATAATAATAATATGCACAGAAACGTTGGAGCAATGGAGTTTTCCCGCTTGGGAAACGGAAATCAATTTCGGATGACATAAATCGATACGATGAAATAGAAATAAAAAAATAGAAAAAAAAATGAGGGCCCATGGGATCAATTAAGTTCTCACGTGGACTTGCTTAAGAAAGAAGTAAATATCATCAAAGAGTCCACAAGCTAATTTCTGTAGATGTCTATTTGCCAGACTCTCCACCTTTCCATTCTACCGATGAATAATTTATAACAGTTCGATTTGCAAATCTAATTTGGAAGAGGAAAACAATGTAATTTGATTATATGCAAATCTGATTTGGAGTAGAAAAACAATGTAATTTGATTATATAAATACCTCTTCAAAAATTATTCTAATGGATTTCCTACTGTACATAACCTTCATTTTTTTACACCATTAGATTTGTTGCTTTTACACCTACACTATTATTCTAATGCAACAATTAATTAACATTAATATGAATAATAAACCTTATATTCATAACCGCGTTGTATTATCATTATTCATTTCCAATTGTTTTCAAAAAAATAATAATTTATTATTGATTTCCAATTAATCTTTTCATTTCAATTCTTGTAAAGTAATTTCCTAACTTGAAGCAAGAAAATTTCGAAAATTATAAATGAGTTTTTTTGTTCCACGTCATTTGCAGCAGCAGCATGACAAATTTGACTAGCCTAACCTGGGAAAAAAAGACACTGGGGGCCACCCTAATAAAAAGCACCGACAAAATGACAAAGGCATACGTAGCTTTCTTTAAATGGAGAACTGTAGGTCCCGCATACATCTATGATGATCATAAGAATAGCTTTCTTTGATTGGAGAACTGTAGGTCCCGCATACATCTATGATGATCATAAGAATAGCTTTCTTTGATTGGAGAACTGTAGGTCCCGCATACATCTATGATGATCATAAGAATAGCTTTCTTTGATTGGAGAACTGTAGGTCCCGCATACATCTATGATGATCATAAGAATAGCTTTCTTTGATTGGAGAACTGTAGGTCCCGCATACATCTATGATGATCATAAGAAAAATTTCCAATGCAAATTCCAATCGTTTCCTTATAAAGGGTTTCCGTATCCAACACTTTCACATTTGATCTAGGAATAAGGTCTATAAAAATTAACTCTAGGTGGAGAACTGTAGGTCCCGCATACATCTATGATGATCATAAGAATAGCTTTCTTTGATTGGAGAACTGTAGGTCCCGCATACATCTATGATGATCATAAGAAACACTGAAAGAGGGCGGCAACAGCCTTTTGTAGTTTTCTTTTTCTTTTTCCAAATCCAATCAATCCAATCGTTCCTTATAAAGGGTTTCCTTATCCACACTTTCATCATTTGATCTATGAATAGGTCTATAAAATTAACTCTAGGCAAATCTGATTGGTGTGCAATGCTCTTGACAGTCTCCCTACGAGATTCTTAGTAGTGTTTCATCTGTGCTCGTAAAAGATGCAGATTCTTAGAGCAACTAGCATCACATATGCTCGTAAAAGATGGAGATTCTTAGAGCAAATAGCATCACAAAAGTAAGAATAAAAAGAAATAATTAACAGAAAGGACATAACCGTATATTGTACGCACATTTCAATATACAATTATACACATGAGAAAACCCTCGTCTCTACTACTTACCTTAATTAACACATCCTCTCATCATTTACACAGAATCACAGGCAGCCAAATGCCGAAAACCAAAAGGGTCGATAAAGAAAAATTAAAAAACATTCACATTTCTAATTATATTAATTAATTTTTAGATTAGATTTTATGATTAACCAGAACCTAATTTCTTACTATCTTGCCTTCTCTTTCATGACGATCACTTTCACCTTGCCAACTCCAAACTATATCTTTAAGTGCAGGCCTAACATTCTCTTCATAAAACTTAGTATACTCAAGAGTGTCGCCAGATGACTTGGAGATCTCCACCACTGCCACTTCCGGTGCCACCTCGAAAACCTCGGCGGTCATGGCCAACTTCCCTTTTCTTCCTTCCTCTTTCCCCTCTAATTTCACCTTAAATTCAGCATCACTTGCCACTCTAAAGTTCAAATCTTTGGCCGCGGATTCCAATTTTGTCACGATAGCTGGAGCTGAACACTTTGAAGTGAACATGGATGGTGTTTTTTTCTTGCTTTCAAACAAACTAGATAAATCAAACCCAGATGACATTGCAGAAACAAATTCAAATGCATTAATAGAAGGTGGAACCTGCTTAATTTCTTTTCCAATATCTTCTTGACCCCTATTAGAACTATCTTGTAAGTCATTAGAAACTATAATAGACTTACTAAGTCCTTTCTTGAACCAGGGATTTTGCCTCACTTGAGGAATACTGATTCTTTTCCCAGGATCAACAATTAAAAGCTTGGAAATCAATCTCTTAGCATCATGTGAAATCCAAGGAGGGATTTCAAACTCCGCCTTGAAAATCTTAACATACATTTTCATCAAGTTGGCGTCAAGAAATGGCAAATACCCAGCAAGCAAAACAAACAAAATAACACCACAAGACCAAATATCAGTTTTTGCACCATCATACCCTTTTTTCCTCAGAACCTCCGGCGCAACATAAGCTGGAGTTCCACATTGAGTATGCAACAAACCATCATTCCGGTTCTGCTCCGGCAAGGCAGAAAGGCCAAAATCGGAAACTTTCAAATTCCCATTTTCATCCAAAAGAAGATTTTCCGGCTTTAAATCGCGGTGAGAAACTCCGCGGCTATGGCAGTAATCGATTGCGCTAATCAATTGTTGAAAATATTTTCTTGCTACATCTTCTTTAAGCTTTCCTTTGGCTACTTTAGCAAATAACTCGCCGCCTCTCACATATTCCATTACGAAAAATACTTTTGATTTCGTAGCCATAACTTCTTTCAATTGGACGATATTAGGGTGTTTGACTAAATGCATAACTGAAATTTCTCGCCTTATTTGTTCCATCAATCCTTGCTTGTTTACCTGGTCTTTGTGGACTACTTTAATGGCTACGCTTTCATTGGTAGCCAGATTTCTTCCTTTGTAGACTTTTGCGAAGGTTCCTTGCCCTAATAGTCTACCCATCTCGTATTTATCAAACAAAATGTGACTGCCTCCATTGATATGAGTCTCTCGCTCTGTTTCACGGTCCATAACTGAGGAACCAAATTTTCATTAACAAAAATTTATAATTGATCAAAGAGAAAGAAAGAAATCATTTTTAAGTGAATCAATTATTGGATTTCATGGGAGGAAAGTAGGAGAAAATTTTCCGAGCTACATTAAATGGGATTTGAGGGAAAATTCTGAGGGATTGATGGAAAAGTGAGGAACATTTGGCAATGACAAATTGTAATGACTAGAAGATGGTGATGCTGAAATGGGTGAGAAAACACTGGCGTTTGGTGTGGAGGAAAATAAGGGAAGTTGTGGAAGATGTTTTTTCTGTTGCTGCAGTCATTGATGGCGGATATGGTTTTTGGCTTTTGGTTTAAAATAATTGGATTTTGAAGGGGCCACGCTATTTTAATATAACATTATTTTTTTTAAGAGGAAATATAACATTAATTGGTAAATACATCTGTAACTAATTGGATTAAATTCCATAAATATATCCTTCAATTCGTCTTTAGTTAAAGTAGCAGAACCAAAAAGGATTTTTTGATATCTTTTACCGGATTTAAATTTTGAATAATTTTAAAGAATGATAAATTTAATTAAAATTTCATTTCATTGCGTTAATTGCACTTTTTCTATGCCAAAATATAAGTCGTTTTTGAGTGATTATTTTGCTCTAAAATATAAATCGTTTTGAATATTTTAATAAATAATAATTTATATTTTTTCAATATTACCATTGTTTAGATTAATTACAATAAAATTCTTTCACAAATAATTATTGATTTTGAGATAAAGAATAATTTGATCAAATTACCCTTCAGTGTGTAACAATCTAAGAGAATTAATAGTTTCCTTAATTCTTGTGTAACAAACTTAAACAACTTATATTTTGGACAGAGAGAGTATAATATACACATAATTATTCACTAAATCATTAAAAAAATCTAAAACTTTTAGGGTAGTATTAATTGTACTCTAAATTTAATTTTCTTCTCCTAATACATTGAATTTCAACTTTAATTACAATGATATTAATTTTAAATTGGATTGTACCAATTTAATGGATCAAATATTATTTTATGGGACTCACACTCTTTGTAATGGTTAGGTTAACCAAACACTTATCGTTTAGCACTCTAATTTAATATTTTCCCTCAAATTAAATTCATTTTCCATCATTGTTGCTTATAAATAAAAATTTATATTCATTTGTATAAATATTAACAAAATAAAAAATAATTTATTCATCTTAAAAATAAAATAATACTAATTTAAACAATGAGTTTTTTGTAACTTGACCATAACAGAGTGTATATATCCGACGAAAATAATATTTTATTCATTAAATTAGATACAATTTGAAGTTAGAGTGTTATTGTAACTGAAGTTGGAGTTCAGGGTACTAGGAGAACAAAGTTGAATTTATGGCACAATTAAAATTATAGGCAAAATTTGTGTTTTTTTAACGACTTAGTCTATAATTATTATCCTAAAATAAATTTTAGTATTTCAATAGAATCTCGAGACATTTATAGCCACAATTTCTAATTTGAGCATTATAAAAGTTTTATCTATCACATAAAATAATTTTCAAAATAAAAATTCATCTACACAATATTTATGAATTTATCATTCTTATTTGACTATTTAAGTGATGACTTATATAATATTGTAAAAGAATTGAAATCAATAGCTCAAAATTTTAAATTTTCAAAAATAAATGCTAATATCAATTGAAATTCTCGTCAATTTTAATTAATTTTTTTTATTTTTTTAAGTAATTAATAACAAATAAGTAAAAAGAGCATGGAGAAGTCCAAAATTTCGAGGATCTCAGTAAGCTGAGGAAGATTTATAGAGAAAATTGCAAGTCAAAGTGAAAATCTTTGATCGGGTTTAGTATTAAAAAATATAATTTTTAAAAATTATTATAAAAATTACATATATTTCTACTCAATAAATTAAATAATATTTAAAATTTTGTGATATTAATAAATATTAGTTGCCAAACAAAATCATTCCTGACACAATATATATAATGCATATTTAGAAATTCACATGATTCATTTTATTTTATGAAAATTGAACATTATTGAAATTCATAAAAAAAAAATAAATTAAACTAATAGAATTATATTATATAATCAAATTTCTGTTAATTTAATTTAATAGTGTTATCTTAGATGAATATTGAAAATTTGAAATATATTACTAGTTTGCGGCATATAATGAATTTCAATTTAAATATATAAATTAGATGTTTTTTTTCTAATTTATCACTTTTTCATTTTTAATTGTAAAAGAAAAGGCTTAATTCAGCGTCTAATGACGTAAATCCATTAGGAAATCTAAGCAATTAGATTGAATTTCATAAATATATCATTTCGCTAGGCTTTAGTTAAAGTAGTATAATTAAAAGGATTTTGATATCTTTTAGGGATATATATTTTAAATAATTTGAAATAATAATAAATTTAATTAAAATTTCATTTCTTTGCATTAATTATATAACATACGCATTACTGTTATCTGAAATAAACGTGAGTCGTTTAATAAAATCTCAATAATATTATGTTCTCTTCGTTCATAAATGTAAGTCATTTGAGAGTTCTCATAATAATTATAAAAGTAATTAATTTTTATAAATTAAAATAAAATAATTTGACTAAAATTACCATTTATAGAGGAAAATAAAATAAAGGAAATGGTTCACAATTAGCAAATGTCATAATAAATAATATATAGACTAGAAATTAATATAAAATAAGGTATGGTCTTAAGTTATCTTCTTTCTTAGGCTTCTTTAGCTTTATCAACTCCAACTCCAGCCCATTCAGCCTCCTCTATAGCTCCTCCAACTTTGCCATCTTCAGCCTTCGCTCCTTCAGCATCCTGCCTGATATCCAGCTCCTTTGCTTGACCGAATCTTCATCCGAATCTTTCGAAACCAATCCTCTTCTCCAGTTCCTTTCATCTCCCAACCCAAACTTCAGCCTCTCCTCCTGCTCCTTCCCTCTAATTTCCATTTGTAGTTTCGGCTTCCTATTCTCCAATTCCATCTTCTCCCTTACCAACTGATTTATCATCTGTCCCTTCCTCTTCATTTCTATCAACTCTTCTATCCTCGATTGTTCCTTCCTCTTCGGTTCCTTCCTCTTCAGTTCTATCTTCTTCCTCACTAACTCAATTTCCCTCAATAGTTCTATCATCTTCCTCTCTAGTTCCATCATCTCATCTTCCGTATTTCCCCCCTCCCATAATTGTTCCATCTTCTCCTTCTCCAACTTATTTTCCCTCAGTTGTTTTCATCTTCTCCCTCTCCAACTCCTTTTCCCTCAGTTGTTCCATCTTCTCCCGCTGTAACTCCTTTTCCCTTAGTAATTCCATTCTCTTTCTCCCTAGTTGCGTCCTTTCAGCTTCCATCTTCTCTCTCTCCAACTTATTTTCCCTCAGTAGTTCCATCCTCTTCCTCTCTAGTTCCATCTTCTCCCTCTCCAGCTCCTGCTCCCACAGTAGTTTCTCCAGAGCACAATTAACATGGAGATCAAAATTACACCCATAACATTTGTAGCTAATAGAATTTTTCAATTCCTTCGCATTTGCAACATTTAAATTGCAAATTGACCCATAATGGCATTATAACAAAATCTAGAGCATGTTCATGACCTTCATATTTAACAATGGTTGGTAAAAGTCAACACTTGATGTGGGTTTGAAATAAGCAATCTGAGCAACATTTTGAGAAGTTTTCACAAAGATTGCATTCATGTTGACCAGGAAAATCATAATCAAATGGAATTTTGGAAAAATAAAAAATATTTCGTCTCAAATTAATTAATTTACCATTTAACTCTGCACAATTTTCATGAAGGATGAATTCATCACATTCTATGCATTTATAGACTTTACCAGAAGTTAATGTTTTGCAATAGTTGCAATTGAGTTTATCAAAACCAGCAATGAATGGATCTTCAATGAAGAAAAATTCATGTGGATGTCTTTCTCTGAAATTTGTCTCAATAATAGCATCATCATTTGTAGAGGACAAATCTTTTGATGCATTATAAATGGCCGAAGAATGATGAGGTTTTGCAACCTTTAACATCTCAATGACAAAGTCCTCTGCGATAAATGTTTTTGTAAAGTCAGATACTAGTTTTTGGCACTTCCATGGTATCGTATTGATCACGGATTGAACATTCTCACTTTGAAGTTTACATTCCATGATGATTAGAGAGGCTTCTTTAGAAGTTGTCAGTTCAACTAAATGATCAAAGCGGAGACGATCATAAAGTGAAGTATTGATGATAACTCCGAGCTTTGAATCAAGTTGAGTTGAACAAATTTGAGAAATAATACTGAAAGATGTGTCATTGAAATACTTATTTGGAATTAGATAAGATTCATTGGAGGAGCTTGGAATGGAGGTTTGAATGTAGGGGATGATATCTACTTCATCAATTAGAGGATACAAACGAAAAGAAAAAAAATATTTAGATAATTTATATATTTGACATTTTGGTGATTTGGGAATCCAAAATTAAGAGGAGTTATTCATCCCTTGTCATAAGCTAAGAAAAGAATTAATGAATATCTGTACCAAAACTTTTACTTCTTTCATTCATCACAAGAAAATTATATTTTTTTTAGTATAATCAGGAGGTTTAATCCCTCGGGCTGTAAAGGATAAAGGTTTTTGTCGCTCTCAGCAAATTGTACTTTTCATAATATTTAGTATATATGTCCTCTGTGTTTGTATTGTAATGAAAGTCAATTAAAGAATTATTAATATTTAATGTACGCATCTAGATAGAAGAAATAGAAATAATTAAGCATAATAAAGGGTTTTAAAAGAATAAAATTCACATATAAAGTATGTCAAATGGACGATAAATAATATAAAAGAAATATAATATATTATAGATGTACCAAAAATGAAATTGGGTTAAGTTATTTGCATTTTTTTTTTTTTTTTTTTTTCAAAGACATAAATAATATAAAAGAAAAATATTAATATATTATAGATGTACCAAAAATGGAAATTGGGTTAAGTTATTTGCATTTTTTTTTTTTATTTGCATTTTTTTTTTTTTTTTTGTTTTCCTTTTGAGCCCACCAACAACTTACAATTTCTTAGATCCTTATACTTTGGAAGATCCAATTGCATTATTCCCAATATTTTATTGAATTCTTCAACCATTTGTCACAAAATTGAAACTCTAAAGTTTGGAATAAATGAATTCCACAAAATTTCATGGAATTCATTTGAAAATTTAAAATTTTGTGTTTGGAATGAAAAAAAAATAGAGATTTTAATTTTAAGAATTGAATTCTATGGAATTGGACAAGCCTAACTCAAATTCTACTAAAATTGA